GCCCCACGTGCGCTCAAACCTCTCCCTGCCCCCCAAGTGTCCCCGAAGTGCGGATTTAGATATCCGCACAGAGGGGGCCACTTCACTATTAGATATATAGATAGATTCTGGCAGGTTCCCCAGGCCCCACCTGGAGTCTGGTATCTCTATGTAGAATTAAAGTCATTCTCCTTCACAAGGGAAACCTGGGAATTGTAGTTCTGTTGGGATCTCTAATGGAGGATGTTTCACATGCTCACCAAACCACAATTCCCAGGATTCTTTGAGGAAAACCACAAGAGTTAAACAGATATAAAATATGTTCACTATGAAGGCAAAGGAGCCAAGGATCATACATCAATTTGGTTATTAAAAGTACTCTGTATGATAACTAAGAACAAAAACTGGGTGTTTTTCCCCCACCAGAATTCTTTGAGTGTTTAAAGTGGATATTCTACTAATTAGTGATCATTCCAGACATGCTTTAAGGTATAGTCCAATTTTTAAAAAGTCCTTTGCATATTCCAGAGTTGAACCCTCAAACTGAAAACTGCCTTATTTACGAGACACCTCACCATAAAAACACTCAAAGTGACTCACAGCATCCAAAAACACAGCATGGGGGAAAAATAACAGCAGAATTTTAAGATAAAAAGAATCAAAATCAACAATCCATTAGTAGCAGCAGCATGTAAAATTGGAGATGGAAGGTTATAGAAAAACAAAATGAGGCCTGGCCTGGATGGCCTAGGCTAGTCTGATCTTGTCGGATCTTAGTAGCTAAGCAGGGTCAGCCCTGGTCAGTATTTGGATGGGAGACCAGCAAGGAAGCCCAGGATCATGACACCGAGGCAGGCAATGGCAAGCCACCCCTGAATGGCTCTTACCTTGAAAAACCCTACGGGCTGTGATTTGATGGCAAAACAACAACAACAAATGATACTTGGGCAAAAGTCATCACCTGGCACCTGGCCTTTAAGAAGCTCAGGACCAGGCAGAGTGCAGCAGGGAGGGGATTCTGCAGCTGAGAAGCCACCACAGAAAAGACACTTTCTCTAGTTGCAGCCAGTGTTCCCTCTAAGCTGAGTTAGTGTAAGCTAGCTCACAGTTTTTTAGCCTCTGGCTCACACATTTTTGTTTCAGCTCAGGAAGGTTGGCTCCAGAGCAAACTAATTTATGCAGTAGCCACATCACCCGCTCACAACTTTAATGCCAGCAGCTCACAAAGTAGGATTTTTGCTCACAAGACTCCACAGCTTAGAGGGAACATTGGTTGCAGCCAGTTTGGCTTGCACAGTCAGCAGGTCTGTTGATGCTAATCTTCAAGGGTGGGCAGGGTCAGATGGTTGTAAGTGGTCCCTGCTCAGGTTTCAAGATCTTTAAGGCAAAAACCAGCACCTTGAATTGTGCCTGGAAACTTATTGCCAATCACTGTAATTCCTTTGAAATGGGCAGATTGTGCTCCCACTATATAAACTTTGGCAGTCAACCATCTTGCAGCCCCATTTTGTTACCATCAGCAGTTTCCAAACAGTCATCTAGGGCAGCCCTATATGGAGAACATTACAGTTCTGAAGCCTGGGCATGGATAACTGTGGCAGAATTTTAACACTGCTGGGCACAGATTAAAGGTTGACAGTCTCCTCCACCTCCTGCCATCACAGATGCTACAGTCTCCTTTTTATTTTTAATCATTGCTTAAGTGTGAGACAATCAGTGTTCTATTTCATCTCTATAGCAGGGATCCCCTCCCCCCAACGTTTTAAAGCTTCCAGGAACCTTTGGAATTCTGATACAGGGTAATGGGTGCACCCACAAAATGGCTGCCACAGGAGACGGAGCCAACTACAAAATGGCTGTCACTCGAGGTGAAGCCAACTAAAAATGTCAGGGTGTGAGGTTATGTATAACTCTAGGAAAGATTGAAGGTCAAAGAAGACGGGGACAGCAAAGGATGAGATGGTTGGACAGTGTCATGGATGCAACGAACATGAAATTGAGCAGGCTTCGAAGGACGGCGGAAGACAGGAGGGCCTGGCGTGATCTTGTCCATGGGGTCGCGAAGAGTCGGACTCGACTGTATGACTGAACAACAACAACAAAGTAGTAAACTCTTCAATATTCCAGGCAGAGGCTCTGTTTAACATAATGCCTTTTAATCTGCAAAGCCAATCAGAAGTCCTACTGAGCAAAATTCCCACCTGGCCCTGCCCCCTTCTAACAGTGCTTGGGGGGCACCAGAAAAGGTGTTGGTGGGTGCCGTGGTGCCCACGAACACCACTGATGGGACTCCTGTTCAAAAGGGAACACAATTTTATTTATTTATTTGGGGTTGTATTCCACCCTCCCCACAAGTGGGCTCCCCGGCCCAGGCTCTTTTTGTAGCAGGAACTCCTTTGCATATTAGGCCACCACCCCCTAATGTAACCAATCCTTCAAGAGCTTACAGAGCTCCTCTTACAGGAGCTACTGTAAGCTCTTGGAGGATTGGCTACATTAGGGGTGTGTTGCTTAATATGCAAATGAGTACCTGCTACAAAAAGAGCTAGGGGTTAAAACATTTCACAGTATATCTTTTGTAATAAATAGAACAGATTAAAACAGAGCAATAAACTAGAACAGATGGCACAGCACTTTGGTATAGTAATCTCAAAAACTGGAGCCACTCAAAAGTATAGTAAGCTCAAAAACCAGACTATGGGCCTTCACCTGATGAGCTGCTCGAAGATGGAAGGTTCACCAGGGGAGGCCAACAGATGGAATAACTGGGTGCACACCACCTCACCTGAAGGCCTGGCGGAACAGCTCCATTTTACGGGCCCTGCAGAACTGTAATAGGTTCCCGCAGGGCTCTGATCTCCAGCAGGAGCATGTTCCACCAGGCCAAGGCCAGGAAAGAAAAAGCCTTGGCCCAGGTCTGGGCTAGGTAGATGTCCTTTGGGCTGGGGACAACCAGTAGATGCTGATCTGCTGAACGCAAGGCTCTCTGGGGCACAGTTGTAATCTATTCCACTGTTCATTGTATGCATTATCTTGCTTTCACTGTACTACTTTCCAGTTTTCTCTCTCTCCCTTTTGCATTGTTTGCGACCTATCATGCCTGGCACTTTTTGCATGCTTCCAGTGTTCCCTCTAAGCTGGGATAGTGTGAGCTAGCTCACAGTTTTTTAGGCTCCGGCTCACACATTTTTATCTTAGCTCAGGAAGGACGGCTCCAGAGCAAACTAATTTACACAGCAGCCAAATCGCTCGCTCACAACTTTAAAGCCAGTAGCTCACAAAGTAGAATTTTTGCTCACAAGACTCCACATCTTAGAGGGAACATTGCATGCTTCTATTTTTTGTGATCTTTGTCCTACTCCTGTTACATTGCTGGATGTGTGATACGATTGGACTGCATTGTCTTACACTGTCTTGGGTCTCAGAGAGAGAGTAGTGGGCTGTAAAGTGTTCCCTCTATGCTGAGTTAGTGTGAGCTAGCTCACAATTTTTTAGCCTCCGGCTCACACATTTTCGTCTTCACTCAGGAAGGAGGGCTCCAGAGCAAACTAATTTGTGCAGTAGCCAAATGGCTCACTCGCAACTTTAATGCCAGTAGCTCACAAAAGTAGAATGTTTGCTCACAAGACTCCACAGCTTAAGGGGAGCATATAAATAAAGAAAATAAATATTCTTTAATTCACTTTATTTGTCAGCTTGTTGCTCACTGAAATTCCTTGCCTATATGTATCATCTGTGGGACAAAATTTCTAACAACTCTGATGAACAATAAAATGAAAAATTTAAAAAATGGATCAGCTTGGTTGAAAGGTTTTTAAAATCTCTGTGTGCGGAATATTTCCTTGGGATCTTCTCTGTTGCCACCACATTTATGCCACCACTGAAGGCATAAAAAATTACCATTCATTTAATGTCCAGATGCTGTTTCATAGACAGGTGGGGGGATGTCTTGTACTGGGTGGATAAAAGCTTCTGGTGTGCAGGAACAAAAGGCTACATCCAGTAATGGGGAGGGGGCTGAAATGCATTTACTTCAGCAATGGGGAGGGGGCTGACATCATTCTCCTCTCCTCTTTTTAAGCCTCACAACAACCCTTTGAGGTAGATTAGGTTAAGAGTATGTGATTGGCACAATGTTATCCAGCAAGCTCCACTCCCATGGCAGAGTGTGAATTCAAATGCTGATTTCCCAGATCCCAGTCCGGTGCTTTAACCACTACCACACTGTCTCTTGCACAGCCTGAGACCCTGTTAGTCTGTTGCAGCAACACAAAAACAGGTGTCCAGTGACAGAAGAACAAAATGGATTCCAGCATACATTTTCAAGACTCAGAGCTCTCCTCATCAAAGTCTTACAAGTCGTTAAAAGATTTTTGTTTTAAATTGGCAAGTGAAATGGTTGTTCACTCCACCAATCTGCGATTCTTGTTTCTTTCCCCCCCAGAATTGCTTCTTTTCTCTGTAAGTCTTAGGTGAAGGCTCTTCTACCCCTCTGTGTTGACAAACATTTCTATCTGGACTTCTTTCTCATTCCTCCAGAGGACAAGGTGTGTGTGTGGGGGAGACTTGTTCAAACCTGTTGATGAGAAGCCATATCGAGGGGGGGGTCCTCCTCCCACCCCCATCGGTATTAATTAGCAACTGTATCGTTTTTCTCTGGATTTTAGGGACTCCCCAACCAGCCATCCCCCCCAGCCCCCGCCCCCTTCCCAAAGCTCTCTCCACCCCCCACCCCCCCAGGAGGGAGGGCTACAGAACTCGACCAGCTGCCTTTTCCTAAGTTCCGACCAGAGAAGCTCCACTTAACGAGGGATGTCCCCGGGGGCTCCGGGGACGTCACTGGGCGCGCGGGCCAATCGGGGAGCGGAGGGGGCGTGGCTGGGGAAGATGAAAGGAAGCGAGGGGAGGGGTGGGCCACGCCCCCTCGGGCCGGCTGGCCCTCCTGCGAGAGCCCCGGCCGGGGGGAGCAAAAAAGGAGGGCGCGGGGCGGGTGGCGACCCAGGCTTGGAGCGGCTCGGCCAGTCTGGAGGCCCGGAGGCAGCGGCGGAGAAGGAGGGAAAGAAGCGGGAGCCGCAGCCCTTTGCTGGCGCTGCCGCGGCATGAGTCTGCCCCGCGGCTGCTGCTGCTGCTGCCGCCGCCGCCACCCCGCGCCCGGAGCCCGCGGCTAGCCCGGCCGCCTCTCTGGATGCCGCTGCGCTCGGGCGCCAGTTGCGCGCCTCTCCCATTCCTCCTCCCGCAGCCAGCGCCGCGGCCCAGCTTTGGATGATGACGATGAACTCTCTGGCCGAGAGCCTGCTGGGGGGCCCGCCGGATCCTGCCAAGCCCTCCTTCCTGGACTTCGCGCTCGGGCCCCCGCCGTCGCCCCACCCGCTGCCCCAACAGGCGCCCCAGCAACAGCCGCCGCCGCCGCAGCACCCGGCCAGCCTGGCGCCCTACCCGCTGCAAGCCCTGCACCCGCCGCCGCCGCCTCCGCAGCACGACGGCGGCGCCTTCCCGTCCTCGGCCCCTGCCGCCTACGGCAGACCCCTGGCCTACCCCTCCTACCCCGGGCCGGCGGCGGCCGGCGGCAGCCCCCACGCCTTCTACCACCACCACCACCACCACCACGGCGCCTCCTACTCGCCTTACCAGCAGCCCTCCAGCGCCCTGGGCCACGGCACGAGGCTGGAGGAGACCGGTAAGGCGAGGCGGGGGGACGGGACGGGTGGGTCGGTGGAGGGCAGAGGCAGCACATATCCCCTCCCCCCCCCCGTGGGGACGGAGCAGGCCTTGCGTTCCCCAGCCTCGGCGCGGCTTCAGGGGACGCCGACCCTGTTCACACGGCCGTGTCAATCAGAACACGCGCCCGTCTACGTTCCTTTCGGAATCCCTGACAGGCAGGCAGGAAGGGTCTGTCCCGGGTTTCGGAGGCAGGTAGCTAAATATTACTGGGCCCCATCTCACTTGAAAATGGTGCAGGAAGAAATCTGTAAAAGGGGGGTCTGTTTTAACGTGGGGAATGTCGACGCGCGTTCAGTCTGCCAAAAAACTGGGGATCCCTGCGTGGTTCCTGTGTGTCACTCGGGCTCAAACCGCCCCCCCCCACGATTTGGGATTCTTGTTTTAAGTTTGAGAGAAGCATGTAGACCTTCTGTGCAAGCACCAAATTGCATGTTGTTACCTGTCATGGGGAACCTGGACATTCAGAAATTCTTGGAGCACCTTAAAAACTAACTCTGAAGCGCGCACTAGGAGAGTCCACCAGAGCTTTGGCCAGGAATAAAGGAGTTTTTTGTTTTTCAAAATTGCCACCGCACAATTTGAACCGTAGCAAACCAACATGGTGTAAGCCTAGGGGGCCTCTCTCGCACACTTTCTGCCCAGCATCCCTCAGTCAACGATTCACACGTGCTGCGGGCCAGGGACTACCAAACACACGCGGATGCTTGAGCTGGGAAAGCGAAAGAGAGGCAGGCGGGCGGGCGGCACTTAGTTCTCTGAAATGTGCTGTAATCAGTAAGACTGGAGAATCGGGATGCATTCCGACTTAAGAATCCATCCCCACCCATCCCGGTACAGATTTGTGAACTTTATGGGCACAGGATCCACTTAAAAACCTGTGGTTTTCAGCACCAAGCAAATGGTTCCAGATCTCTTTTTGCAATTTATAGTTGCAAAAATAAATAAATAATAAAATAACCTCAAGCAATGTTCCCTCTCGGCTGTGGAGTCTTGTGAGCAAAAATTCTACTTTGTGAGCTACTGACATTAAAGTTGTGAGCGAGTGATTTGGCTACTGCATAAATTAGTTTGTTCTGGAGCCCTCCTTCCTGAGCTGAGACAGAAATGTGTGAGCCGGAGGCTAAAAAACTGTGAGCTGGCTCACATTAACCCAGCTTAGAGGGAACACTGACCTCAAGATATCCCCCCTTCTCATAAAGTGTCCTCCCCTTCTCTGTTCTACCTTCAAACCCCCCCACACACAGACACCCACAGGCATTTGTCAGTGGGGCAACCAACCTGATTTGGGGGGGGGGGAGCCAGATAGCAAAAAGTGTTAGCTTTTAACATTTATTTGCTTCATTTTATCATCACAATAACCCTATGAGGTAGGCCAGGCTGGGAATGTGTGACTGGTCCAATGCCACCCAGCCAGCTACTTTGGCAGAGTGGGGATTCGAACTTGGGTCTCCCAGATTGTAGTCTGACACCCCAACCACTACGTCACAGCATACCCAGTGTCCCATTCCTCGGACCCTTCCCTTTCTGCTTTGGCACCCTGTGACTGGGATAATATTAGTTTTAGGACAGGGATATTCCACCTTGTGTTTGAAGGCAAGACTGGGCCAGTTGACCCCCAAGCCCTTCCCAGTTCTGAGATGCTATTGGAGTCTGAGACCTGGGTTAAAATGTCAGCTAGCTGGGGGAGGGGGGGAGCCCTGATCGATCTGCCTTACAAATGGGCACCACAGAGAAGCCATGGTAAAAGAGATTTTCTGCCAAATCAATAGCTTCTTAGTCTTCCTCTCCCACCAAAATGAAACTCCAGGTTGCATCTGCTCACACCCACAGCCTCGTCAGCCCGCCCTGCTCTGTCGTTTCCCCGGAGGCAAGGCCTTATCTCCCCCCCCCCCCCCTTGTACTACTCTGTAATTGATGGTAGTACATAAATAACAACTTGCCAGAAGAGGATGAGTGTGGTTTAGCCACCTAGTGCGCTGAGTGGCTCTTCATGTTCGGGCTGACTCCTTCCATTGCAGGAATTCAGGTCTGACCTGTGCCCATAAGAATCTGTAGCATGAATGCACCGTGTTTAAAAACAACAGCAGCAGCCACAAAACATTGTGTGCCTTATCTGGTTGTAATCTGTACAATGGCCCTGGAAGGTAGGCCGGTGAAACTGTAATCCATATTGCAGACATGTGGCTAAGAGGGGCTTGCCAAAGTCTGCTGCATAAGTTGGTGTCGGCTGTGTGATCTGAACCTGTGTCCCACAACACATGTTCATAGTCATGCGCAGAACACTGTTTCCTTGTCAACAAAGGCCTGCACTTAGCTGTCACTTCTCTGAGAAGAGGGAACACCTCCAAGCCAGGCCCAGTTCCTGTACCCTATTTTAGAAATTAAGCCTGACTCAAGGACCATTTCAGCCTAGGCCTGACCGACTCACAGCCAGTTCTCTGTGCCTTTGCAATTTCTGCCATTGATATGCCCTTTCTTGTTCAGTTCCAATGCCCAGTCTAAGGCTCCACACTGGGAGATTTTTTTGTACTACTTCAAGCATGTCAAAATCATTTTTGTTGATGAAACAATTTTTAGATTTTGGTTTGGAGGGAGATTTCCCCCACCCCACCCCAGTTCCTTCTAGGCATGTGTAAAGGGCCATTTTCCCTTCTCATTCTCTCCCCCGCACGCTATAATCAGGGGATATCATTGCAAATGAATCCTCTATGAATTTATTCTACAGATTTTGGGTTCCACTTTGCCAAATGCTTAAGCCCCAAACCCCTCAAAAAGAGTAGCATTTGAAAATAATTTTTGACAAAATCCAGATGTTTTCTCAAACATCAGGGCAAAGTCTGTGGAATCCTTTAATTGAAAACGGCTTTGTTTATTATTTTAAAAGTGCATGCAGAAATATTAATATTTTTCCTTCGTCTATTTACAATGCAAAATGAGTAGTCTGAGGTCTCTGCTGAATGTAGTTCCCAACCAAATTGGCTTCAGGATCCTAGCGAAAAGGGATTTTTCCCCTCCTCCCAAGGCAATAACAGTGAAATTCTGAGCAGAGCTATATCCTTCTAAACCCATGAACTTCAGCAAATTTAGAATGGCAAAACTCTGTCTAGGATTACACTGTAAATAGCAAAGGATGATCTGTGTATGTTTGTTCAAAAAAAATTGATTTAAATGAAGCCATTGAACTTTCAAAAAATGTTAAAATCTATTCAGCGGTTCATAAATGGGAAACATCTGAACCTTGTAACTTGAAGTATTGCCTTTTGTTTTGATAAATCTCAATCTGTCATCAAAACGTTTTTTGGAAAATAAAAAAATACCAAATTTGATTAAGAAGGGGAGCAGAGACTCCTGTAAAGTACAGCTGTGGATTGCTAAACATTCCAAGTAAACATTCTTTTGAATGTTTCAGTAAGCCATTGGACAAATGACCGTCCACAATCTACATTAAAACCGCCATCCCTTTCTGAAATATTTGTTAGTCTTTAAGGTGCTACTGGACTCTGACTCTTTTCTGCTGCTACAGACAGACTAACACAGCTACCCATCTTGGAATATTTGTGGAACAAGTTTTCAAAAATCGTCTAGCAACCTCGGTGCCCGATAAACCCACAAACTCTTTGCAAGATGAGTGAATTTGGAATGCCCCTATGCGAGTCTCCCCAAAAGCCGAACTGAAACTTCTTCCAGAATGCCGCAACACCAGTTGTGCCAAAATTTCAGGGGAAATCCAGGTTAGTTTGGCTGAACTGGTTTCTTGATGAGCAGGCTGTAAACTTGGAAGAAGAATGTACATATTCCTAAAAGTTTGCCCCATTTTATGATGCTTCAGTTTCCCAGACAAAGAGCTTTGCAAAATATTGTGATGTTCAACAATCTGTCAAGGTTTTAATAGGATCGGCTGTGGGCAGAAATATAGATGGAACTGTAATTAAGGTGGGCACACCAGAGATTAGCCACACACAAGCAATACAAGGGTGCATCTGAGCTTGTAAAGAGTGACTCCATTTATAAGGGGGGAAAGCCTGTCCCATCACATGTCCCTCTTGAACTGGGGGGAGAGGAACAGCTTCCAGATAGCCCTAAACCCTTGTTCTTTGTATTGCTGAATCCCAACCTTTCTTGGCTTCTTTTAAATTGGCACCTGTCAAGATTGTGGAGAGTGACAGAAGATGGCTTAATGCTGTTTGAGGGCAACAGTTGTTAGCAGGAATCCATCAAAGGGATTGTTCTAGCTCTGGTCCCCTGTCTGTGAAAACAAAATCTATTTGTTACGAGAACGTGCATCACCCCAGTGCCTCATTAGCCTTGGAAGGCGCTGCGGTGCTCTAAAGTCAAACAGGTGATAATTATTAGGTGCAACAGTAGGGACTCCTTGCCAAAAGTCTGAATGCTGCCAGGAACCAGGAAGACATCCCAGCATTGATCAAGACATGTCAGTTCATAACAACAAAATAATGCAAGAGTCGGGGGGGGGGACCTTCAAGAAATAATAATAATTTATTATTATTAATAAATAAGTAATAATAATAC